TAAAAGCATTAGTCAAAGGGCAGAAGAGGGGTTGTTGAGGTGGTTTGGTCATTTAGAGAGAATGGATCAAAGTAGAATGACATGGAAAGCATATAAATCTATAGGGGAAGGAAGGAGGGGTAGGGGTCGTCCTCGAAAGGGTTGGAGAGAGGGGGTAAAGGAGGTTTTGTGGGCGAGGGGCTTGGACTTCCAGAAAGCGTGTGTGAGCATGTTAGATAGGAGTGAATGGAGACGAATGATACTTGGGACCTGACGATCTGTTGGAGTGTGAGCAGGGTAATATTTAGTGAAGGGATTCAGGGAAACTGGTTATTTTCAAATAGTCGGACTTGAGTCCTGGAAATGGGAAGTACAATGCCTGCACTTTAAAGGAGGGGTTTGGGATATTGGCAGTTTGGAGGGATATGTTGTGTATCTTTATACGTATATGCTTCTAAACTGTTGTATTCTGAGCACTTCTGCAAAAACAGTGATAATGTGCGAGTGTGGTGAAAGTGTTGAATGATGATGGAAGTATTTTCTTTTTGGGGATTTTACTTCTTTTTTGGGTCACCCTGCCTCGGTGGGAGAGGGCCGACTTGTTGGAAAAAAAAAAAAGTCACATAGTTAGCTAGATATATGTGAATCATTGAATGCTACATGGCAAAGTGATGCACAAGAAAATAAGGAGGAAATCACAGTCAGTGTAGTAAATCAGTTTAAGTTAAATAGTCCATAGAAGATTTTCAGGGCATCAAATGAGAAGTCAGAAATGAAGTTGGCTTGCTTTATGAACAGGACAATAAGTCAAAATATGTTAGATTATAACCACAACCTGTCGGATCTACAAAATAGTGCTGGGCTCAGAGAAACAAAGAGAATCTTGTATGATCTGAAATAATAATATGAATGTAAATTTACTAATGATGGATTAACCAAATATATTCGTACTGTTATACAAAAAGTAGAGAAACAGTCCTTCATGCTGAGATTTACAGTTAGCAGCAGCTAGGTTGGATAATGTTGTGAATAATCTTAGGATGGCCCTGCAGTCTCTCATTTGGTTTGTTCACTCCTTTTCCCGACTTGTCATTATTTGTAGTAATGAAATATAGGTGTAAGTTTGGAGCTTTACATTTAGTTATCGTGTAGGTTTCATCAAATATGATAATGAATCATTAATCTGAGTAGAAAATTTTGAAATACAGGTATACTCTTAAATTCACGTCCTTTATTTTTCTGACATTTTTGCTAAAGGATCTCCTGGCTAACTGCTTCAATTCACAAATTATGCAAGAATTGTGTTTGGAGTGATTTTGACCCCATTTGACATGCCTAGGCCAAAATACTTTCATATATCAACACAAAAATATTCAGTTCAGATCATTATCTAATAATGATTTTAGGGAAATTCATAGTAGATATAAAACTTCAATGCTTCTTTTTCAAAATGGTAATGCAACAGTTTGTATGAGCAGTTTCATTTATTAATGGTGATGTGCCACTAGTTGGTAAGCAACTGTGTAATGCATGATGTGAAGAGGTTGAATACTAACATCTGTTTGTAAAAAATTGTGTAGTTAATAGTTTTTGGTGTGGAAGCATTTGCAATGCAGTATCATTTATTGATCTGATGCCCTTCAAGGGGTGTGGGTGTCTTAAATGTCAGTGAAGGGCACTTGGGCCATGGAATTGGATCTACTCTTGGATCTAAACTAATTGCCTCCCATTCCCTGCAAGATGTATAATCCCTCTGGGTTTAGTGCTTTTCCATGAAAATAATAATATTGGCAATTGGTGTGATACATTCTCCACATTCATTTTGATTTTTTAGTGGCCTTTTTTTTTTTTTTTTTTTTTAAACATTTTCCTCTGCTTTGTCTTTATTTCTTTTTCATCACTTATTTACCTCCTTTTGCATATGATCACTGGAACAATCTAAATTATTTCTAAAAGAGGTCACTCCTATATACTGTATATAGTCTGTATTTTTATGGTGGGAGGATATTTTAAAAAGTTAGGCAGTAAATGGAAATATGGTTGAGATGCTGGTAAGGAATATAGTACTAACACAGGATAAAGTATTCAGAACATTGAATTCTTGAGAAATTAAGAAATGCATGAAAACATAGCCTTAAATGAGAATAGACACAATACGTACTTGAAAGATTTGCCAAAGTGGTTCAGGCATGTGGTGTGTTTAGGTGTGCATAGGATGAATCTTAAAAATAAAGATCATTGGAGATATTGGGAAGTGCAAGTAATGGGCATGATGAGAAACTTCCTAATATTATTCGATGAGGCTCTATAAACTTTATGGTCATCTGTTTGACATGCAATGAGTATAAATCCAGTATTTTAATACTTCTTAACACCGGCTGTCTCCCACTGAAGTAGGATGACCCAAAAGCGGAGGAAACACATTCATCATCATTGATTCAGTCTCTTGCCAGAAGTGTGCAGACATCACGGTATTATTGATGTTTATCATAAGCAGTGTGAAAGGTTGGTTAGGCATGAATAATCATTTCTAAAGTCATGTTGCCCTCTGAGGAATTTTGTTGTTTATGTGGTTAATTTGTCACACTAGTTAGAAACACTGGTCTTTACTTCAAGATTACTTTCCTGTCTTTCTTTTATTTTGAACAGTAGTGGAGTATTTTATTTGCTACTTTTCATTTTTAGGTATTTGAAATACCTTTAATAATTTATAAGTTTTGCAAGGAAGCTTACACAGTACTGTACTTTTATGACTGTTATTTGAAACTGTGTTCTACATATGTTTGCTCTGCAGGGGCAACTGTATAATTATACATAGCACTGTATGTTTGTATATTTGGTGTGAAACACAACTTATATATTTGTGTACGTGTTTGTGTGCATATGTGTGTGTGTGTGTGTGTGTGTGTGTGTGTGTGTACACTCATTGGCCATGGCCACTTAAGTACACCTGTACACCTGCTGGTTAATGCAGATATGTAATCAGCCAATCTCAGGATAGCATCTCAATGGCTAAAGCATGTGGACATGGTCAAGAGGTTCATTTTTTGTTCAGACAAAACATCAGAATGGGGTAGAAATGTGATTGTTGGTGCCAGACAGTGTGGTTTGAGTATCTCAGAAACTGCTGATCTGGGATTTTCATGCACAACAGTCTCTAGAGTTTACTGAGAAAGATGTGAAAGACAAAACATCTAGTAAGTGGCAAATTCATGGGTGAAAATGCCTTGTTAATTGGAAAGGTCAGTGGAGAATGGACAGACTGGTTCAAACTTACAGAAAGGCAACAGTAACTCAAATAACCACGCTTCACAATAGTGCTATGCAGAAGAGCATCTCTGAATGCACAACATGTTGAACCTTGAAGTGGATTGGCTTCAGGAGCAGAAGACCGCACACAATTCCACTCCCGTCAGCTGAGAATGGAACGAGATTACAGTGGGCATAGGTTCACCAAAACTGGACAGTTGAAGATAAGAAACATGTTGCCTGGTTTGATGAATTGCAACATGCAGATGGTTGTGTTAGAATTTGGTGTAAACCTTTGGTATGTGGTGAAACAGGAGATTCACAGTATGAATGTGCGGCTGACAAATCTGCAGGAACTGCATGATGCTACCACTTGAACATGGACCAGAATCTCCAACGAATGTTTCCAGCACCTTTATTGAATCCATGTGATGAAGAATTCAGTCTGTTCTGGGGCAAAGTGGGTATCAAAAGGGTGTACCTAATAAAGTGGCCATTGAATGTGCACATATGTGTTTAAAATACATAGATGTTTTCACTCCCAGATTTGCGGTAGTGTGTGATACATGAGTAAAATGACACCAGTATTACCCTTTCTGGGTTTTTCAATATTCTTTTGATTTTCAGAAACATGGCTCTTAAGTATCCATTTGTGGTTATCCAGTCTGTGTTCTTAATGCCGGAGTTAATTATTATGCTTTGCACTTAGGCCAGTTTCTCTGTATGCACTATTTAGGTCATGTTATGTTAACATCAATTAATCAAATACTGTATAACATACAATAATGCATTAGAGCAAGATTTTTTTTATGAATAGAAAATGGGGGGATCCACTGTATTGACTTAGGAAGCATAACAGTAAAATATCAATGTTCTAATTTACTCATTCACGAGCCTTGTAAAATACCATTACATACTTGCTTAGGAGGATAGGTTGGGTTGTGATAGTCAATGTAAACTTTTGAAGGCTTGATACTGTACTTTTATTCTTAGTGTTGATAGCAACAGTATTTTCAGAGGATGTTAAAAGCTAATGATAACATTGGTTCTGCCTCAGTGGGAGACAGCTGGTGTGTTAAAAACAAAAACAAAAATTTGGAAAGTTTTGGTATTATTATGCAATACAGAAACTAGATTATTCATTGAATTATTTGCTATCATATTGTTCTGTATCACCTAATAAGTCTGTGCTTATACCACATGAGTTCCCATCATACAGTGACCTAAACATTATAATGCAGAGATAGGTGTAATTGTGCTTTATTACTCTATTGTATGAATTGCTTGTCTCATATCATTTGTAATGCACGCAGCTGCCATTTATTCCACTATGATTTGCAAGACATTTGTTAAAATGAATATCTTTATTGTAATCCAGCTCCCAAGATATTGAAAGAATCAGGTTGATGCTGCTAGCATGATGTACATTATTTAATTAAAACTAAATTGATGTTTTTATTAAATTACTCTGATATAGCTCAAGTAGCACTGTTATTTGATATAGTTTATTTTTAATTTTGTAAATGAATGGATAACATCCTTTAAAATTTAATTGCAGTTGAAAAGAAATTTTGTTAGTATTTTTGCCATACAGTGCTGTCAATGATATTTTGCTTACCCAGTGCACCATAAATTAAACAGGTAATTAGGAATCTCAAGTTTTTATTTTTTAATATACAGGTCATATTTTTGTAATCAGTTCCATTTTTTTTTATACTATAATTGATAACTTTTACTGGTGCAAATAAATAAGGCAGTTGTTATAATTGCAGACACATCGAGTAGCGGAGCTGATGGGATGTTCCCCATGATGAAACCAGTACCTGGTGGAGGGATGCCTGGGGTGAGTGCAAACCTCTTCTACACCTTCACCCTATATATAGTTAGATATTGTATAATTCCATTTATTCTTGACCATATATCAGAAACCCCAAAAATAGATTTGTTAAGGAAGTTCAAAAAGATATTAACTAAACAAAACGGAATGCTTGTCAAACAGATCAGTCTATGCATTAATTTCTGAAAGTCATGTGAATCAAATAAATATGTGTTCATATGACCAAGTGTTTATAACAAGATGTGTTGAATGGTTATGTAAGAGTAGCATGTGGTGAGGGTGGCACTCTCTCTCAGGACTTTCCCCTGGGTAGTGGCCCTGATGGGCCCATGGGTGGCCCTATGGGTCCTAACACCATGGGCCCTGTTATGAATGGTGATGGCTTGGAGGGCATGAAGAACTCCCCTGCAAATGGTCCTGGAACGCCGAGAGATGATGGAGGCGGTATGGGGGACTACAATCTAGGAGGCTTCGGGGGCCCTCCGGAGAGTGTAAGTTGCTCCTGTGGCGCTATTGTGGCCGTCCTTCTGCTTGTGTGAGGTGTAGATGCTGGATGCTGCTATATGCACATATAACTCTTAATTCATGATGATGATAATTTCATTACATAGTGTATGTATTTATCAGTGACTGCTTTTCACATTGTTTTGACACTATTTCTTATATTGAGAGATTAAGTTTTACACATTATACTAATTACCTCTTAATATGTTTCATTTTCTTGAATGGTATAAAATTTCAAATGCTTTAAGACTCACATCTACCATGTGATTCTTCATAAAATTTGTGCATTAAGTAGCATCTTCCCTTGTTTGTTTTAACTGAGTGAGTTACTAGTCCCATAGTTTAGTCAGGGATGTGCAGAGGAAGATGATAGTAAAGTAAAGACTCCAGATGACCTTGAAATATTATTTATGGTTGTAGCTGAGAGATAACAGAGTGGCTTTGAAGCACATGTTCTTTCATGTATGACCTGACCTGTTGTCACTTGACATATTACCTGTACTGCCATATTGCTTTCATTTTATGAATTCTTAGGCTCTCGAGATAGTGCAAGCATTTGTATTGAACATTGTTTTAAAATACATACAGTAATGGAAACATCTATAAGCATACAGTTTTTAAACTAACATTTTGTATCGTAGAGAAATAGTGAAAAAATTGCCTTCAAAGCATCATAAGGTATATTTAAAAAATTAACTTAGGATTATGCATATTATAACCTCATGTACTGATACTGTACCTTGGGATATGGGTGACAGTTCTACTATGATATGCAACTGGCATAACATGCCTTTCTTTGTATTATCAATTAAGCCAGTTTCTTTCTTCTCAGGAGATGATTTAAAGGAAACTAGACATTTATTTTTTAAGTAATATGAAGTACCTGCATAAAACATTAATACCATATCAGTTTATACACACAGCGTAGGTTTTACTTTTGTTAGGAATTTTGTTGTTGATCATTTCCCTCATGATCTGAAGTAATGGTTATAAGAGGCAGGAGCCCATCAAGTAAATAGTATTTACCTAGTGATTTTGACCATATTATCATATGGTATAGCATGCTATAGTTTTTCTTACCAGATTTTATCGCATTCTGAGTGGTACTCCTGAAAAACAATGGTTTTCATTAAATTTTGAATATTTTCACAGTAGTTTCTAAAATGCCTTATCTATGTAGCAACTGCACATTTAGACCTGAACTATTCAGACATTGTATAAACTAGTGACATGTTTGTCTGTGCAATTTTTTCACTGTAAATTTAATACTAATTGGAGAAACGATGCACTAATATCATTGAGGGGAAGTGGTTTCAAGTATATACATTATTAATGGTCAAATGAACAATACCGGGAGAACATTTCTGGGAGTGAACGCCCCTGTAGCCCAGTCCCAGGCCTGGCCTGTTAATTAATGTTAATATGAATTTTAAAGTATGATTAAATTTAAACTATCAAATAATGCTTTGAACCATTTTATGAAATATTGCAAAATTATAGTACAGTAAAATTATATTTAAATTTGTAGCTTTGATTGGTGTTGCCCACTGGTTTTTATAATTAATACTTATCTTATTTGACAATTGTATGTTAACTCTAACCTTGAACAATATTTTATGACAAAAAATTAATTCTTCAGTCTTACACTATATACACTATATAGCCTTTTTTTTCCCCCTAAAGCTGTTAGATATACAGTACAATAACTAACTGAATGTAAGCATATATGTTATTGGGTTGTACAAACTGTTGAAAAGTTTCACACTTAAATTGTGTCGATATCGTCTTTTTGAAAAGTATTTTGATATGCATGAACTTAAAAGAAAAAGGCTTACTTTCATATTAAAACTTAACACTTTGAATAAAGTATACTGAAAATTGATATGTGAAGATATATTATGGCATGCTATAACATAGAGTATGATTGAAATAGGCATAACTGCGTAACAGAACTTTTATTATCTTGACATTTTGCTTGTGTAACAAGATTTTCCAAGTCATTTAAAATTTATGAGCAGCAAATTTATATATACTAGCGTAAAGTCCAGTGGGAACAGGTGCGGTGATGCCATAGGCATCCAGAGAGCACTGGGGATGCCAGTGTGCCTTGTGTATGCATGTGAGGCATCAGTGAACTGTTTCTGTTTCTTGTAAGAGAAAGATTTGCTAAGCTAAAAGTGCCCTGATTCTTCTGATTGGTATTTTATGTGCAGATTTGATTGGATTTCAGTTATCTTCATTAAGTTTTGTCTCTTTGCTTGATTACTAGTTGAAAAAAAAAAACATGTTATTCAGGTGAAACATCAATACAATTAAAGTTCTGTTTTGAATTTGTGTCTATGTCTACCAACTTGTCAGATATATGCCATCGCGTTCTAAAGATAGTGTATGCTATAACTGAAATATTTGCAAAGATATATCATAGCATTGTGTAACCTAGAAATATATATACAAAGACTCATTATAGTATGCTGTAACTTGGAAACAAAACATTATATCAAGAAAATATTTTTTCTGGGGGAGATATAATATATGATAATGTGGAAATATATGCCAATATGCATTATAGTATGCTTTAATTATGGAAATCTAAACAGAGATTCATTATTTAAACAATGGTACATTATAATGTGATTTAAAATAGAAACATTAGCAAAATCAAAGGAAATGGGACAGCATAAATTTATTTTGAGTTGGTGTTTGTTTCAGCCAAACTCCTAAATGCATTAATGCCATAATGATAATTTCCAGTACAGTAGGTCCACTGCTTAAGACATTTCGTTCCTGAAAATTGTTCGCAAGTTGATTGTTCATAACTCAGAATCTATTTTTTCTTAGACACCCAAGATATAATTGGAGATGCATTCCAGAGCCATAATATGTATTCCTTTTCTAATATTATTTATTTTTAACTAAGATCATTACCTAATGTTTTGCACTCATTACTGTTCTTTTCGTTTACAAATAATATTAAGCATTGTTTAATTAATGTTTACATGTTAATTAAATAGAACAGCTGCTATGCAGCATACAGATTGTACAGAAATATAGGGGTTGGCAGTAGCTGGTCTGTCTCTCTCTCTTTCTTGTTTTCACTTGCCTATTCATTCCCACCCTCTCTCACATCGTATCTACTACAATACTCCTTACGTACATTCACCACTTCACTGCTGTGGCTGAGTGTGTTGTGGGAGGAATGGGATAAGTGTGTAAGGGCAGACAGCAGCTGGAATGCCTCCCTCTCTCACTCTTCTATTTACTTCCACCCTCTCTTGCATTGTAATTGACTCAAGACTTCACATATGCTTACCAATCCCTCATTGTTATGGTGGAAGTTATTATATGCCTGGCTATATTATGTGGGAAGGTAGTGGTGAAAATAATTGTGTGAGGGAGGGTGTGACGTGAGCTCTTGCTGTCATGCTCCTCATCCACTAGAAATTTCTAGTTTGTGGGCAACAGCTAGTGAGGCTACTACACCCTAACAGAGAAATGTATTTATTTAATTTACAGTTCCTAATATATATATATTAATATAATATATATATATTATATATATATATATTATATATTATATATATATAATATATATATATATATATATATATATATATATATATATATATAATATATATATTAGGAACTGTAAATTAAATAAATACATTTATATATATATATATATAATATATATATATATATATATATATATATATATATATATAAAATATATATATATATATATATAATATATATGGGAGACGGCCGACTTTTGAAAAAAAAAAAAAAAAAAAAATATATATATATATACACATATATATATATAAGAAGAGCAGAGTATATGGAGAGTAAAAGAAAGGTAAAGAGAGTGGTGAGAGAGTGCAAAAGGAGAGCAGATGATAGAGTGGGAGAGGCACTGTCAAGAAATTTTAATGAAAATAAGAAAAAAATTTTGGAGTGCGTTAAACAAGTTAAGAAAGCCTAGGGAAAATATGGATTTGTCAGTTAAAAACAGAGTAGGGGAGTTAGTAGATGGGGAGATGGAGGTATTGGGTAGATGGCGAGAATATTTTGAGGAACTTTTAAATGTTAAGGAAGAAACAGAGGCAGTAATTTCATGCACTGGTCAGGGAGGTATACCATCTTTTAGGAGTGAAGAAGAGCAGAATGTAAGTGTGGGGGAGGTACGTGAGGCATTACGTAAAATGAAAGGGGGTAAAGCAGCTGGAACTGATGGGATCATGACAGAAATGTTAAAAGCAGGGGAGGATATAGTGTTGGAGTGGTTGGTACTTTTGTTTAATAAATGTATGAAAGAGGGGAAGGTACCTAGGGATTGGCAGAGAGCATGTATAGTCCCTTTATATAAAGGGAAAGGGGACAAAAGAGACTGTAAAAATTATAGAGGAATAAGCTTACTGAGTATACCAGGAAAAGTGTACGGTAGGGTTATAATTGAAAGAATTAGAGGTAAGACAGAATGTAGGATTGCAGATGAGCAAGGAGGTTTTAGAGTGGGTAGGGGATGTGTAGATCAGGTGTTTACATTGAAGCATATATGTGAACAGTATTTAGATAAAGATAGGGAAGTTTTTATTGCATTTATGGATTTAGAAAAGGCATATGATAGAGTGGATAGAGGAGCAATGTGGCAGATGTTGCAAGTATATGGAATAGGTGGTAAGTTATTAAATGCTGTAAAGAGTTTTTATGAGGATAGTGAGGCTCAGGTTAGGGTGTGTAGAAGAGAGGGAGACTACTTCCCGGTAAAAGTAGGTCTTAGACAGGGATGTGTAATGTCACCATGGTTGTTTAATATATTTATAGATGGGGTTGTAAAGGAAGTAAATGCTAGGGTGTTCGGGAGAGGGGTGGGATTAAAGTTTGGGGAATCAAATTCAAAATGGGAATTGACACAGTTACTTTTGCTGATGATACTGTGCTTATGGGAGATTCTAAAGAAAAATTGCAAAGGTTAGTGGATGAGTTT